CCATGTACATGGGGCACTGTACCAAGAGAGAGGTCTTTGGACCTCAGGGGGAAAGGACATTAAGAACGCCCCCGAGATCCTTGCACTGCTGGCAGCCATCTGGGGGGCCGAAGGAGATAGCCATTATACACTGCCGGGGGCACCAGAAGGATGACACCCCCATAGCCTGAGGCAATAGACTAGCTGATCAAGCAGCAAAGGAAGCCACCAAAAGACCAGTAGGGCCCCTACAGGTCTTAGTGGCCCTCCCAGACCGCCAGCTGCCTGACACCCCAACCTACACCAAGAAGGAAGAAGAGCAAGCAAAAGGACTAGGGGCCCAGGTAACCAGGGGAGGATGGCTGAAACTCCCGGACCACTGTCTGTTCTCCCCAGAAAGCCTGGGCAGAATCCTTGTAGAGCAGACCCATAGGGGCACCCATCTCAGAGGCACCAAGCTGGCTGAGCTTCTTCGCAAGGATTACTACGTTCCGGGACTACAGAGGATGGCCAAGGATGTGGCTCCGAGATGCCAGGCATGTGCCCAAGTGAACCCCAGTCAAGCCCGCTCCGACCTGCCTGGAGTAAGGTTCCGAGGAAGCACCCCAGGGGAGCACTGGGAAGTTTACTTCACAGAGCTCCCAGCGGGCCTGGGAGGATACAGATACCTCCTGGTGTTCATAGACACTTTCTCAGAATGGCCGGAGGCCTACCCCACCAGGACTGAGACAGCCCAGGTAGTGGTTAAGAAGCTCCTCTCTGAAATTGTCCCCCGGTTTGGCCTACCCCTGTACATGGGGTCCGACAACAGCCCGGCGTTCATCGCCAGGATCACCCAATTGGCAGCTAAGGCATTAAAGGTAACTTGGAAATTGCATTGTGTATACAGGCCACAGAGTTCAGGACAGATAGAGGGGATGAATTGGACATTGAAGGAAACATTAACCAAGCTGAGAATAGAGACTGGCGAGAACTGGGTAAGTTGGCTCCCCTTTGCCCTTCTCCGAGCTAGGTGCACCCCGTATGTCCAAGGATTGACTCCTTTTGAAATAATGTTTGGGCGACCGCCACTGTTGGTGCCCAAGCTGGGGGAGGAAGAAGTCGCCCGTCTCTCTACCCGTAATGTGCTTAAGTCTTTGCAGGCGCTCCAGCAAGCCGTCACATCAGTACAAGGGATTGTGCAAGAGGCTTACCCAAACGCTGACACCCCGGAGGTGGGAGAGGCGAGCCAGTTTTCCCCTGGCAACTTAGTCTGGCTGAAAAGACGCCAACCCGGAGGGCTCGAGCCACGCTGGGATGGTCCGTATACTGTGGTCCTCAGCACCCCCTCAGCAGTCAAGGTAGCCGGGAAGAGACAATTGGATCCATTGCACCCAAGTGAAGGCGGCCGACAGAGGCGACAGCCCCCGGAGGTGGAAAGTGAAACCAACCCAGGACCCACTGAAGGTGAAACTAGCTCCTGCCTCATGATCTATCTACTGCTGCTCGCTGTCATGTGGAGGGTCGGTAAGCCCCTTTCCCACCAGGCCGCACGTTATGCCTGGGAGGTGATCCGCACCACGGACGGGGTAGTACTGGCCCGAGAAACGGGCACCGGTGAACCGACTCTCCGGTTTGACCTGTGTAGCCTCTTCGGGGAGGATTGGAACCTGCCCCAGGACAGACCCAGGCTCATGAATTTGGGCCCAGCCGGGTCGCAGCTGGGGATCCCCGGGGGAATGGCTACACACAGGGCCACAACCACCTATGGCTGCGGGACCCGAGGGACTGAGCAACAACTATGGCGTACTCCCCCATATGTCTGCCCGCGCCAGCCCAGGATTCCCTTTCTGAAGTGTGGGGACCATGAGGATTATTATTGTGGACAGTGGGGCTGTGAAACCTATGCCCAATGGCCCCCAAAGCTTCCGGACAAGGACATACGGTTTACCCGGCAGGTGCAGCCAGGGGGCCCGGAAAGGAACTGTACTGTCGGAAACTGCAACCCCATTGTCATCAAACCAGTGGCGTATTGGGCCAGAGACTGGACCAGGGGAAAGACATGGGGATTGAGGCTATATGTCTCTGGGCCAGACCCTGGGGTACTATTTACTATCCAGCGACGGGAAATACTCCGACTGCCCAATCCAATGGGCCCCCTGGCCCCTCGGCGACCCCAGGTCAGGAGACCAAGCCCGGCCCCACCCGTGAGGAGCCCACCACCACCATCATCAGAGACTGAGGCAAGTCGCCGGGATGCAGTAACCTGGCCTCCGCCTCGGGGAGCTCCGCTGAGACCAGACATTTTTGTGCCGCTGGAAGCCTCGTTCCAACTTCTGAACAAAAGTGCGCCCGACCTTACTGCAGACTGCTGGTTGTGCCTCAACCCCGAGCCCCCCTATTACGTAGGGAACGAAGCTTCGGCTCCATTTGGGGCAAGAGCTGCCCACGTCCGCAACGTGTCTGCGGATGCAGAAACCCCGGAATATGTGCATGGGAAATGGAAGGAGGGGATTAACTTTAGGTGATATTACTGGAGCTGGGCTGTGTGTCACATCTGCCAATTACTCCCTCCCCGACTCCCCCTATGCAGAAAATTGTAACCAGACACTCCGACTTCCTGAGAGACCAGGGTCCAGGCCCCCTGGTACCTGGTGGCCCCAAATGGTACCTGGTGGGCATGCACCACCGGAATCACCCCCTGTATACTCTCCCTAAACCTCCAGACTGGGCCCAAGCCAGGGCTCTCTGCATCCTAACTCACATCCTTTCGCAAGTGTATTATGACTCAGGGGAAGGAGGAAGGGAGCACCTCCTCATAGAGCCTCGGCGGATTAAGAGAACCCCGGTCCTGGTGTTCCCCTACCAGTAGGACTTGGAATTGCAGGATCCATGGTGGTAGGGACAGCCGCCTTAGTGACAGGACACCAAAATTACAAAGAACTGGGTAGTCAAATTGACCAGGACCTGAGTACCCTAGAAAAATCCATAGGACAGTTGGAGGAATCAGCAGGGTCCTTAGCTGAAGTAGTCTTACAGAACAGGAGGGAACTCGACCTACTCTTCCTGAAACGAGGGGGACTGTGCCTAGCATTAGGGGAGGCGTGCTGCTTCTACACTAACCATTCCGGGGTAATCAGAGAAAGTTTAAGTCGGTTAAGGAAATGGCTGACGGACAGAAAAGAGGCCCGTAAGGCAGAGGGGAACTGGTATGAGAATCTGTTCTCCTGGTCCCCCTGGCTCACAACCCTCCTATCCGCTGTGGCAGGGCCCCTCCTCTTACTCATAGTAGGTCTCATTTTCGGACCCTGCCTGCTCAGGTGTGTCCTCAATTTTATCCAAGACCGAGTCCAAGCTGTCAAGCTCATGGTCCTGCACACCCAGTGCTCTCAGCTCGTGGGTACTAGCGACGAATCCAGGGTCTGAATTCGTCTCCTAAGACCAGTAAGGAGTGTGATGAATTGAATGTCAGTATAAAATTTTCCAATCTGTTCCCCAGCCGTGCCCCAGTTAGAGTTCTCTGTAAACTGACAAGAGATCCAGGATGTGGTCAAGGATGGGTAACCAGACATAACACCAAGTTTCCAACTTCCTGACATCTGCGCATCAAGGCCCTGATGAGACACTTGCAACTGTAATCAAGGACGTTGGTGGTTTCTGTGAATAAAAGCTTGCCTAGCACCAAGGTCGGGGCTGCTGCAGGAGGAGATTTCCCTGTGTGGAGACGCCTGTGACAGTCTCTGGCCAGCTCAACAAATCCTCGCTTGCTGCTTAAGACCTAATTGGAGTCGGTGGTCTTATTCTCGCGAATGCTGGTCCGCAACAGCAGGCCGACGTTCTATCCACTGAGCCAAACCAGTTAGGGCCAGGTCTTATCTTTAAGGTAAATAAAGATTTATAATTCTGAAATGGATACCTATATTCATGAAAATACTGGAAAATAATAAAAATAAAAAATGGTGATGGGTCTAAGTGAAATGATAACAGTTATTATTCTTATAACTCTTTTAAAAATTGTTGATTTTCAATTCTTTTGTTTTCAAAATAACAGGAAAACTACAGGATACATTCTACATTGATATCAATGTCCCATTAACTAGGCTATAGGGACTACTAAAGATAAAATATTCATTTAAAAATGAATTCCAGGAACACAAATACTTCACAGACCACAACTTACAACTAGAAAATTTTTATCCCTTGAAGAATACATAAACCTGTTTCCAACTATGATGGATGGGACTATCTCATCAGGGGCCTAACCATGAATGGATATCTGGGTCTTTCTGTGACACCCCCTTCCACCTGCTTCCCTAACTCAAGCTGCCTCTCCCTTCAGATGGGGAGACAGGGAGGGGCTGAGAGAGCAGGCTGCCCTTCCCCTCCCCCCTCCTCACTGAGGGTTTAAGGATCCAGGTGAATCGCAGGCAGAAAGTTTCTGGTTTCAAACCCAATCGGCCCACCTTTTGAGTTCCCTGTAACTTCCCTGTAAGAATGTGCTCCCGGCTTGTGAAGATCCCGGGAAAGACCCCTCCCTGGGACACCTGCCGCTGAAGGGCAGACCAGCCAGAGCTCTAAGCACAGCCTCTGGGAGCTGGGAAACTTGTGTGTGAATTCCAGGTTCCTCCTCCCTCTTTATGCTTTTGCCACAGCTGCCATTTACTCGCTAGCACCCTAATAAAGGAACAGCCCCTCTATCTGGGGTGCCTTGTGCCATCAGAGGGCACCTGGCCCTTTCCCCCCTTTAAAGAAGTAAAATAAACGCCCTCCCTCTGCTCCTGTCTCTTCTCTCCCTTGGGAATCCTTTCGCAGCCGCGTCACCAGCCAAAACCCTGACAATGACGTGGGAAACTCCCCCAGGAAGGGCTGTCCCTGTGGGAGGAGGTGCGGGGACCCGGGGCTGCCCCCTCGCTCCTGCCCCGCCCTCCCTCCCTCTGTCCCTGCACAGGCCTGGCCGCCCGGCTCGGCCCCGCCCCCATCGCGGAGCCGCTCAGCTCAGGCTCTGGCCCCGCCCACCCGCAGGGAGGCGCATGCGCAGTTCCTTGCAGACGCGGAAGCGGCTGTGGAGGGGAAGGTGGCGGTTCCCGCTGAGGAGGGTGTTTGTCTTTAAAGCTGACGCTCCCCGTCCCCCTCCCCGCAGGGAAGGCTGAGGGCGCTGCCGGCGCTGAAGTCCTTGTTGGGGTCCCCGCCCCGGAGCCTCTCAGCGGTGAGTCCGGTCCCGGGAGGCTGCGCGGTGCGGGCGCCACGTTCCTTTGGGAGGAAACGGAGGCCCCGGCCCGGGGTCTCTCCGCCTGTGGCTGTGGCCACCGCCTGCCGCGCGGTTTTCCCGCTGAAAACCGTTCCCGGGGCCGCCGGTGCTCCCCGCGGGGCTGAGAGTCTGGGTGAGGGGGTTCCCGCCCTTTGCGCCCCTCCCGCCGCCCGGTTCTTCCGCCCAAAGAGCCCGGATGGCTCCCGGCCTGGGGGTCTGCACCCCCTCCTAGGCCCACCCCCATTTACTAAGGGGTCTGCCTGCCCGGGGAGCACAGTGTCCATGGGGGGACTCAGGGGGAGGACGCGGTGTCCCCTGAAGAGGCGACCTGCCCGCAGGGAGGGGCTTTGTGGGCGCGGTGACTGCGGGGGGCGGGGGCCCAGGCTGGGGGGTGAGGAGAGGGAGTGAGAGACAGACACGTGGGCGGGAGGTAGGGCAGCGAGGGGTCCACAGAAAGGGGGGCTCAGGGATGAGGGAGCAGAGGGAGCAGCCCTGAGTCAGCAGCTGTGGGAGCGGACAGACGGGAACAGGCAGCAGAGGGGCCACGGGCGTGGGGAGGGGAAGACGCAGACGCAGAAGCAGACGCAGACGTGTGTGGAGATGGAGCCTCAGAGACCAGGAGAAAGAGCCCCTGAAGGGAAGTCGGTTTCAGGAGTTTCATGGTCCAGGTGTAGGACTGACAGAAAAGGGGAGAGAGAGCAGGGGAGAGGGGGACACGGGAAAGGACCACAGTGGAGAGAAAGGGAGCAGGAGACAGACAGATCCACAGACAGAAATACATAGTAATGGGAATATATATATATAATCTGTTCATCTCCAGGAGGCAGGGAGAGGGAGAGGGAGTTGGAAACATCAATGAGGAAAGACAATCATTTATCAGCTTCCTCCTGCTAGCCCCTCACTGGGGATCAAACCTGAAACCTGGCCATACGCCCGGACTAGGAATCTAACCATGATCTAACCATGGTTCATAGGTCCAAGCTCAGTCACTGAGTTATGCTGCCTAGGTGTGTCTTTATATTTTTAATTTAACAGCTGAATTGTATTAGTTGTACAGGTTGAATGAGAATTATAAACCTCCAGTTTGTAAGGCTTGGGAATTTTATAATCATTTCCTTCCAATTGCAACCTTTATTCACTGAGAGGAGAGAGACTTGTCTGTTGGTCATGGGTCCCTTGTCATTTCCTGGGATGCAAGGAGGAAGTGACCTGTGTCACCATTTGATCCTTTTCTTTCAGGACTATTTAAAGCCTTAGCTTTGTTGCTGTGAGGGGTGTGTGTGTGTGTTTGTGTGTGTGTGTTCTGTGGATTTACTTTTTCTATGTCTGACAATTTATTATTTGAAAACATCCTTAGATAAATCCTCTGGGTCTTCTCAGATCCCCTGAGGAGCTTAAAGAAATGTCCTCAGGTGCACTTTCCCCCATAGAGTTAGACAGCTGCTCTGGGTGGGGCATCCTTGGTTACTGAGGGTCTCCAGGTGATTGGAAGGTGAGGACAGGGATTAGCAGGAGGGGTGCAGGATGCCTTTGTGAAAGTGGGGAGCAGGCTTTGTTCCGGGGAGGTAAGGGGGCTCTCTGTTCGGTTTGGGGCGTCAGGACAGCAGCTCACCTCATTTCTGTAGGAGTTTGTGAATGTCTTTGGGAGGAGAGACACATGAAGACGAAATTAAACACCTCACAATGTGCTCTCCATGTAGGGGTTCATTGTTCCTGTCTCTCCTGTGACCAAGAACAGGAGGGGTGGCCTTTTCCTCATTTCCAGGTCCTTCTGACTGTGAGTGTGAGCTGAGCTGATTAACGGGCTGTGCTGACATCTTTGAAGGCACATTCTGTGACTCCTCAACATATTGTCACCTGAGAAAATAACCCACACCCTGATCAGGACCAGGACCAAATGGCTGCTTCTCAGGTAAAGGATGTGTCCTGGGTCACAGGCTATGTTTCCTTTTCCTCTGTCATCTGGTGATTTATTTCTCTGCTCTGATGTTCTTGTCTTTGCAGGTTGTTTTTCTTTCCTTATTTCATTACTTTATTCATCACAGTCAATGTCAGCACTTTCTATATTTCTTTTTTGTGTGTGTTTTTCTTCTCTTTTTCCTGTCTTTTCAAAATGTATTTTTAATTGCTTTCAGAATGGAAAGGAGATGGAGAGAAAGATAGAAACATCAATTAGGTTAGGGAATCATGGGGCAGCTGCCTCCTGCATGCACTGGGTATGGAGTTTGAAGCTTGGAGTGTGTCCGGACGAGGAACCTAAGCCTGCCGTCCTGGTTCATAGGTCAGTCGTCTACTTCTCAGCCACACTGTCTGGGTTATACTCTCCTCCATTGTCCCAGAGCCTTGTCTGCATGCATTTTATCTCCCTCCCCAGGTGTGGTTGTAAATTTGTGTGATTGTAAATCCTCCCCTGAGAAGATATTTTCCTACCTATTTTCCATGAACTTTTCAAGAGTGCAAGTCAGGGGAGTAGGGGCAGAAAAAGGAAAGGGAGAGAGAGGAAAAGGGGAGAGGGAGGGGGAGGGGAAGTGGCAAAGGGAGGGGTAGAGGAAGCATTCAGGAAGCATTCCTACCTTTAATAGTGACTTTCAACTACTCAAAATGTCCCTTTTGTGACAGATCAGACTTGGAAGGCTGCCATGTCTAACATCCATATTGGGATGGGGTCAGAGGCTGGAAATGTCCCTCTTGTTAGAGGCTGAGGTATCAGTGAAGAAGGCAAATGCAGGTTTTAGTTTCATGTGGCTGCAGCATCAGCTATACATCAGGGGTAAGAAGATGCACTTCTGACTGCTCAGAATAGCTCAGAAAGTTCTGAAAAAAGGGCAAATAGAAGAGACTTGCTCATTAGATTAGTACGAGAGACTTGGTCGGTAAATGCACTGTTAGCTTACAGAGCATGAGAGGCACAGGTGGATTGGCACTTGCAAAAACTAATGTTTATTTGTGATCATTTATCATTTCCACATATTTATTGAGGTATTTTTGGCAGTAATGTCACAGCAGTGGTGACCTGACCTTCCATGTGCCTCAGTCACCTGTTGCCCATTGTCTCAGTCCACCTGATGATCACGTGGCAGAGGTGCTCCCCTCACTGTAGAGTTAATAGTTGTAAGCTCCAGGTGGATACGGGGCTCCAAGGGAACCGCAAACACAAACTGAACATTGGCAAGGGACTTTCCAGCTCCACCAAACATCCCGTTTCCAGCCCAACTGCAAACTGCTACAAACATTCTGGTAGCGACCGGGCAACCGACAACAAACCTGCCTATATAATCTTCCCACTCCCCCTATTGTGTGTGACTCCCCTGGCCTGTGCTTGCAGACCGCGGGACCTCACCCGAGAGCATCTGCCTCTTGAATAAACAGTGCACTCTGCTTTTAATTTGGACTCTGGTGCCTTTCTTCGGTCAAACGTTACATTCTTGGTGCCTAAACCCGGGAGCCCTTCGTGCCACTGGGCCGGGTCTCCTCTGAGAACCAGAAACTGACACTCTGGTGGAATTGGAAGTTGCAGGAGGTCCCAGGGGCCCCCTGAGGCTCAGCCTCTCTGACTAAAGGCTTTACCAGCGATCTCAGTTCCAACCAGCTGTGATGTAGGCTCTTCCCCTGTCGGGGGTTCTTTCCTGAGTCTCCTTGACTGGAGTCGCAGCTGCCCCAAGGAGACGCCGTCCGGACCTGACAAAGTCTGAGGACACTCGGACTCGCAGTCCTTCCTGTTTTCTGATGGTGAATTGGTAAATTGCCTGCCTCGGGGACGCCCGGGTAGACGTTCTCTCCCCTACCACACTCTTTCTCTCCCGAAACCGGGACCTCTGACAATGGGTAGCCAACCCTCTAAGCCGGACCCAACCAATCCAAAAACATCTCTAGGGTGCATTCTTATTAATTGGAACAAACTCGGCCTCTCGGATCTGAGGAAAAAGAAACTAATCTATTTTTGCACTGTCTGGTGGCCTCAATACGTTTTAGATAATGGCTCCCAGTGGCCGCCTGAGGGTACTTTCGATTTTGGAACCCTCACTGACTTGGTATGTTCATTCTCGCCCCAGCCTTTGTGCCTCCTACTGCACCCCCTCCTGCTCCACCTCTCAGGTCCTCTTAGCCACTGCCGGACCTCCAACATTGGCTCCAGGGAAGGACAAGGGCCAGAACTCTGCCTCCAATTCCTCCTCCCAATCCGAACCCTCCGCTTTTACTATCCCCCCTGAAGATCTCGAATCTCCCCCTTTCCGGCTCCCTCCTCGCCCAGCCGAGGATGAGTCCCTCTGTGCCCCGCTTAGTCCCAGCTCTATTAACTCCCCTTCTTCCATTCTAGCCAGCACTCTCTCGAACTCAAACTGCAAAGCGTTAACTGGCAGGGTAAAAGTTCAGGAGAAAAACGGGGTCACACTGGCTGGGTTCAGTAATTTTTCTATGCCACGGTCCCTGCCCCCAGCACATTCAGTAATCTTTCCATGCCACAGTCCCTCCCCCTAGCACATTCCCTACTGGTCTTATGCCCAAATCAAATCTTTGATTCAGCGCCCTCCTCTACAATTCTGGAGTATTGAGTGTATAAAGAAGCAGCCGCCTCTCTATGCCCCCTCCCACAGGAGGTTGCAGTGTTCCCCCTGTGCGCTCATTCATTCTAACCGTCTGCCTTCCTCTGTGTGCTCCACCAAATCTCCGCCCCCATGACTCCCAGCAAGTTAAATTCACAGGTAGCTGGCCAGTTCCCTTTGCGAGAAATTGCAGCTGGGAAAGATTTTATCCGCCCATCCCAGTACCCACCCCTGCAAGGACTCTGGTTCCTAGAAGGAGTGGAAGCAGGGCGGCCCCTTTCTTCCTGCCCGAGGAGGGAGCCAGGGTGGCTTCCAGTTCTCTGTTGCTCCTGATTGACAAATTGGTAGTTAGGAATACCAGGTAAGAGCCTGTGAGGAATGATGGGTCCTCTTGCAGTGAAAGTGGGAGGAATGTTAGAATGCACTGTTATCTAAGGGAAAAGAGGAAGGGATGGAGCAGTGGAAGCCAGGGACCTGGAGGCTGGAGAAAAGGCGGGGGGTGGGGAGGGAGCAGGCTGCATGAAGGCATGACTAAGAATGAGTGGATTATAGGGCTATCATCAAGGAGGCAGGGAAGGGGTCCGGTGGCCAGCGGGCAGGTGGATTTGCCGTCAATACCCATGACCGAGATCTTGGAAGGATAAAGGGGGCCCAAAAAGGAGGGCAGGACAGAGAGGGCAGCCCCCGTGTCGACCAGGAAGGTGACCCACTACCTTCAGTGCGGCCCTGGACTTGGCGAGCATGGTGGGGGTTGTCGAAGCTGGGCGTCTTCAGTCTTCAGCCAGTCCCAGCATGGCCAGCGGCGGGTCATGACCTGGAAGGGCGGCCCCTCCACACTGGGGTACAGAGGGCCCGCCACCTTTCCAGGGGCAGTCACTTTTCCAGTGGCACTTTGACCTTATGCCGGGCAGGGCTTGGTTGGAGCCCGGGGCTGGGGGCACTGCTTTGCCCAGTGGCCTTTATTTCCGCATTTGAAGCATTCTCCAGTGGCGATCCTTTTGTTGCACCCCCAACGCACACAGCCCCCTTGGGGCCATGGCGGCTGCCTTCAGCCGCAGGACTGCAACCAAGTCTGTAGGTCTACCTTCTGTCGAAGGTGGGCATTAAAATTTTAAAGGCCTTTTTTCACTTGATCTCGGACCAGGGTCTGAGGGCTCAGGTTAGAGAGTGGGGGGCATAGATTCAGACGCTGCCCTCAGTCCCTTCTGCCTCCCTCGGGCAGAATGGGCGCAGAAATAGAAGAGGCTGTTATGGAGCTAACATTCTCAGGATTTGGGCTCTCAGGGATAGGGGAGAAGGCAGCTGCTGGTTGAGAGGGTCTGAAGAGAGCGTTTCTTAATTTGGGAAAGATCAGAAAAGTGAGAGAGAATGGCTGTCCGGATAAAATCTTTCCCAGCTGCAATTTCTCCCAAAGGGAACTGGCCAGCTACCTGTGAATTTAACTTGCTGTCAGTCATGGGGGCGGAGATTTGGCGGAGCACAAAGAGGAAGGAGGGCGGTTAGAATGAAAATGAGTGCACAGGGGGAACACTACAACCTCCTGTGGGAGGGGGCATAACCAACTGTTTAACATCCTAACTCTGTCTGGAATTCCCTGATGCCTTGGCTCCTACACTTCCTGGGTCCCCTGGTTATCATTTGTTTATTATTAATATTTGCTTCTTATCTCTTACAATTCCTTCAAAATTGGGCAAAAAACATCACAAAGGTAGCAGTTAACCAGATGCTACTACATCCCTGCTCCCGCATCCCCCTGGACCCTCCGACCCAAGGCCCATAAGCCTACATCCCAACTAAGCCCGAAGCAGCCAGAGTGGTCAACACCCATTATCACTAAAAAGTCGAAATGTAAGGTCCAGGTGGATACGGGGCGCCAAGGGAACCGCAAACACAAACTGAACATTGGCAAGGGACTTTCCAGCTCCACCAAACATCCCGTTTCCAGCCCAACTGCAAACTGCTACAAACATTCTGGTAGCGACCGGGCAACCGACAACAAACCTGCCTATATAATCTTCCCACTCCCCCTATTGTGTGTGACTCCCCTGGCCTGTGCTTGCAGACCGCGGGACCTCACCCGAGAGCATCTGCCTCTTGAATAAACAGTGCACTCTGCTTTTAATTTGGACTCTGGTGCCTTTCTTCGGTCAAACGTTACAATAGTCTCCTTTTCACAGGAACAAGGGTGTAGTAGTGAATTTTTTTTTTTTTTTTTGTAGTAGCGATTTAATGAAAGTTGTACAAAGACCATCACTTCACATCTGGAAATGTCCCTCTTGTTAGTTTGGGTTTGCTTTGGAAAATGAAGGACTTACTTTTATTTCCTACAGATCATTGGCTTTTTCATGGGCGCTTTAAACAATCAGGCCTTGATTCTGTACATTTCCTTTCGATTCTATACTCACATGAGAGACATACCCTACACCAGCGGTTCTTAATCTGTGGGTCGCGACCCCCGAACGACCCTTTCACAGGGGTCACTAAGACTGTCGGAAAACACATATATAATTACATATTGTTTTTGTGATTAATGACTATGCTTTAATTATGTTTAATTTGTAACAATGAAAATACATCCTGCATATCAGATATTTACATTACAATTCATAACAGTAGCAAAATTACAGTTATGAAGTAACAAAAATAATTTTATGTTTGGGTTCACCACAACATGAAGAACTGTATTAAAGGGTCACGGCATTAGCAAGGTTGAGAACCAGTGCCCTACACTATCATTTTTTTGTATTTTCTTAAAAGTTTTCAAGAATGACATTATTAATGTATGTTCAGTTTCATTAAATTTCTACAACATAGCTCTCCACTAATGATACATAAAAATTTTGAAAGAAATGTACTAGTAAGAAAAATTAGTTCCCCTAGGCTGGTGTGATGTTTCTCTCTCTTTCACATACTCCTCCCCCTCTCCCTCTCTCCCTCTTCTTTTCCTGCCTCTACCTCCCTGCCTTCCACTCTCGAAAAATCAATGGGAAATATCTTCTCAAGGGAGGATTTACAACCACAGAAAGGAAAACAATAGTCTAACTTGTTTTCTATTTTTATGTTTTCTCCTTATTGTGTTTATAAAACATAAAAGGGATCATATACAAATAGATTCATGAGATTTATGCAGTCACTAAACCATCTTGATTTCATAGTTGTAAAATGTGTGTCTCTGTACCTAAGCTGTTAGCGTTATTTTAACTGTGTTTTCTTTGTGTGTGTGTTTTTTTAAATATATATTTTACTGATTTTTTACAGAGAGGAAGGGAGAGGGATAGAGAGTTAGAAACATCGATGAGAGAGAAACATCGATCAGCTGCCTCCTGCACACCCCCCACTGGGGATGTGCCCACAACCAAGGTTCATGCCCTTGACTGGAATCGAACCTGGGACCCTTGAGTCCACAGGCTGACGCTTTATCCACTGAGCCAAACCAGTTAGGGCTCTTTGTGTTTTTTTTCCCTGTACCAGCATATTTTTATGGATTTCAGAGAGGAAATGAGAGGAACATCAGTGATGAGAGAGAGTCATTGACCGGCTGCCTCCTGTACACCCCACACTGGGGATATTGACTGCAACCTGGTCGTGCGTCTAGACCATGAATGGAGCGAGTGACCACTTGTTGTATGGGCCAGCACACAAGAGCCACACCTGCTGGTCCAGGCAGAATAATCTTGTTTTAAGATTACTCATAATAAATTTCCAAATAGCATTGTGGTTCCTATGAGTCCTATTCCATGAAAACTGGATTCCGTTAACAAACCCTTTTAGTTCAAAGTTCTATATAAATTTTTCTTTGTGTTTTCTTTTTCTGTGTATTCAGAAGTGTGGCACATGATGGGGAAACATTAGCATCACAAGTAAAAAGTGAGCTTGTTACACATGTGGAAACACAGGGCCCATCTCAGAACCTGGATCAGAGATTGTATTTTTATAGAAGTCCATTTCCTTGTGGTCTGCTTCACACTTGAGAAGAACTCCATATACTTCCAACCAGCATGACATTTCCCGCTGAGGAATATACATCACTGACCCTGAATGATGTAAATGCAGCCTTCACAAATGTATAAGCCTGTGTCCATGCCTTAATTTTAAAGTTTATTTTCCTGTAAAGGAAAATCTGTACTGTGGATTTGTGGACATTTGTCATCCTCCTGTGTCAGTATTAGAAAACACATCAGAGAATATTACTGGGGCAAAGTGATCTACTGTATAGTTCAGGATACCCCCTACGGTCAAAACCTCTTCTCCTAACACTGTTTTCATGTTGGGTGACATTATGAAGTCTTCTCGTGAGCTCTTAGTTACTGAGTCTTTTCTTTCAGGAACGGTTGTCCTTCATGGATGTGGCCATAGATTTCTCTCAGGAGGAGTGGGAATGCCTGGACCCAGCTCAGCGGAAATTGTACCTGGATGTGATGTTGGAGAACTACAGCAACCTGGTCTCCGTGGGTGAGGATGACTTCCTTCCCGAGTTCCTTCTCAACCCTCAGGATTTTTTCCCTTTATTAACACTAGTAGCCCAGTGCACGAAATTCGTGCACTGTGGTGGGGGTGGGGTGGGAAGGGGCCCCTCAGTCTGGCCTTCCCCCTCTCCAATCTGACACCCCTCAGGGAATGTCCAGCTACCTGTTTGTGCCCACACTTTTAACAGATAAGAGCTCCATTGTTGTTTCTTTCTTATGCTTAAAACAATTGGAATTAGTAGGTAGTCAAAGTGTGTATACATTTTGGGGGGACACCCTGTATATCTCTAGTCAGTGGTGAAATAAACCAACAGCAGATTTGGAACCCCCAGACAGGGAACCTCGCTCACTTCCCACGTCTCCCCACTTCACTTTCCACCTTCGTGCGCAGCAGGAGAATCAACATTTTCTCTCATTAATTCGGAAAAGCACGTCCTGTCACCCGCTGCCTGGCAGGAGTGAGGTAGGCCCCAAGCAAGCGAGGCTCAGGGCAGCCTTCACTCATGGGTGCTGGCACCCAAAGTGCACATTCCTCCTCTACAGTCACCCCGACTATCCTACTGTTTCACTGAGAGGACAGAATTCCTCTCTGCCTCTGGGTTCTTGAACGCTGACCAAAGGCACCTCAGCAAGGGCCGCCCATGCCCACCAGGTTTGTCTATCTGCAGTGCTCCTGCCTCAGCACCTGCATTAACCCCCCAGAGGTGATCTCGTAGCTGCACTGGCCTCTGTGGGAACAGGGCATCACCACTCCGCCCTCTCACTGTCATCTCACAGGCGCCCACCCTCAGCACCCAGAACACCCAGACACTCTCCAAAGGACATGAGCGCATCAGAGGGGATGTGTACACATCCTGTGGGGGTGTTAGGCATGCCAGGTTGATGGAAGTGCGGTGGAGAGGTAGGGGGAACTTGTGCACGCCTTGGTTTGCAACTGTTGCAGGCATGGGAGGGTGACAGTGTGCTGGGGGATGTTCACACACCAGGGGGGGACGTGCACACCAGAGGCCTCTGGCTTTGCAGATCTGCAAGCCTCGTGGAGCGGCCAGGAGGATGTCAGTCTGGCCCGCCACGGTGGCTGTCCCTGCGATCCTGCACCTTCTGGGCCAGGAAGCGGATCTTGCGCAGCCACTCCTGGGCGCTGATGGCCTACAGGCGCTACTTCAGCTCAGCCTGCAGGCTCCGCTTGGCGTACTCACAGCTGTCACCACCGCCATGTGGGGAGTACAGGCTGCCCTCCACCAGCCTGCCTCCCCTGTCCAGAGGCTCTCTGCACTGCTCACCTGCCCAGAGTGACTGGGGCTGGGCGGAAACCAGGCATCCTGTCCTGCCCAACCTCGGCTGATCTGCCCCTGTGCGAGCTGCCGCCCCGCCGGGAAGGGTCACGGATCCAGGTCCCAGGACCGCGGATAGCCTCCTGCACTGCCCCCCGCCCGGCAGGGTCACAGATCCAGGTGCCGGGACCGTGGACAGCCTTTCCCACTGCCGCCCACCTTCAGTATGCAAATTAGCCTTCATCTTGTTGCTTCAGGGTGGGGGTCTCCACTGGGGTGCCTGGGTGAGGGGATGGTGGCTGTTTGCAGCTGGTCACACCCCCTTCAGGGAGTGGGTCCCCACTGGGGTGCCTGGCTAGTCTGGGTGAGGGGTTGAGGGCCGTTTTCAGACTGGCGGGCGACTGAAGCTCCCAACCTCTCCTTTTTTTCTTTTTTCTTTTACTCTGGGATTTATTTCCCTTCTATGGCTGTCACTGGAGCTGAGGCTCGGCTGCAGCTCTGAGACCTTGGCTGCAGCTCCGAGACCTCGGCTGCTGAAAGCAGGTACTGGGTTTCTTTGGGTTCTATAATCGAAACACTGTTGCGGTCCTGCTGGCTGAAGCCCTGCTGCCTGAAAGCAGATTTCTGGAGTTTGTTTAGCTTCTATACTTGCAACACTGTTTCTTAGAGTGCAAGCTCAGAGGCCGGCAGCAACAGGTGGGGAACCTTGGCTTCCTCCATTACTGGAGCAAGCAGGCCTCCTGTTCACTTCAGTGCCTGGCTGCCGGCCACCATCTCGGATGGCAGTTAATTTGCATAAGTATATGCTGATTAGCCTATGGGAAGGGTGTTGGGGTTATGATCAATTTGCATGTTTCTCTTTTATTAGACAGGATCTCTAGGGGCTTCTGCTTTCTGTGTTAGATTCATGCTCTCAAGGAACAAATTGAGCCCCAGCTGGTTGGGCTCAGTGGATTGAGGGCTGGCCTGCAGACTGAAAGGTCCCTGGTTCGATTTTGGTCAAGGACCAATGCCTGGGTCCTGTCGGGTGTGTGCAGGAGGCAACCAATCAATGATTCTCATCATTGATATTTCTATCTCTCTTTCGCTCTCCATTTTTCTCTGAAAGCAATAAAATTTTGTATGTTTTAAAAGAGTAACAAATTGGGGGTCCTTAGGAGAGAAAAGCAAAGCTTTGTGATATATGTGAATTAGGAACTCAGTGTTTGCACACTTTACATGTTCTCTACACTAATTAAGGTACTATCAGAAAAGTATATTTTAGAAAATCATTTTCTAGAATATTCTAAGATTCTACCATGTTTCTGGCCAGAGGACAACCTGGATTGGAAATGGGGAAGCTTTATCAAAATTCATACTCCACTGTCTTTTATTTTCTAATATTTTATTGAATTCAGGGAGGAAGGGAGAATTAGAGAGAGATAGAAACTTAAGCTGGGCATTAGTTGATGTTTTTGTATGTGCCCTGACCAGAGATCAAACCTACAACTTGGTTATATCGGTACGATCCTCTAAGCAACTGGGCTACCTGCGCAGGCAGATTGGATTCTTTCATTTAGTTCTATTTATCTAGTCTTCTATCATATTTTTGATTGGCTTCATGTATTATTTCCTTACTACAGGCCCAGTGCACGAAACTCGTGCACTGAGGGTGTGGGTGTTACTCAGCCCAGCCTGCACCCTGTCCAATCTGGGACCCCTTGAGGATTGTTCGATTGCCTGTTTAATTCCAATCCCACAGGGATCGGGCCTAAATGGGCAGTGCATATCCCTCTCAAAATCCTGGACTGCTGGCTCCCAATCAATCGCCTGCCTGCCTGCCTGCCTGCCTGCCTGATTGCCCCTAACCGCTTCTGCCTGCCAGCCAGCCTAATCACTCCCTAACTACTCCCCTGCCAGCCTGATCGATGCCTAACTGCTCCCCTGCCAGTAAAGTCGCCCCCACCTGTCCTCCCCTGCCAGCTCGTTCACTCTCAACTGTCCTCCCTTAATGGCCGAGGCGACCCCTGCTCCCCTCTTCTCATGGCCTGCTGGCCCCTGACTGCCCTCCCCTGATGGCTTGGTTGCCCCTAACAGCCTTCCCCTGCCGACCTTATCACCCCCAACTACCCTCCCCTGCCAGGCTGGTCACCCCTAACTACTCTCCCCTCAAGGCCTGGTCCCCCCCAACTGCTATCCCCTGCAGGCCTGGTCACCCCCAACTGCCCTCCCCTGTTAGCCAGGTTGCCCCTAACTGCCCTCCCCTGCTGGCCTGATTGCCCACAACTGCCCTCCCCAGCTGGCCATCTTGTGGATGTGGGCACCACCATCTTTGAGGGCATGGCACTCACTTAGCTTATTCCCTCCTTTTTAGCTGTGGGCGCCATCATGTTTGCAACAGTGTGAGGGTCAGTTAGCACATTCCCTCTTTATTAGATGGGATAGTAGTGAATAAGACATTATTGTACGTCCTGAAATGTATTTATCCATTCCTTTGTTGCCAGTCCTCTTCATTGCTTCCAATTTTAGTAAATTATGAATAAACAGCCTCCTTGTAGGCTTTTGTGTAGATCAGTGGTGGCGAACCTTTTGAGCTTGGTGTGTCAGCATTTTTTTAAAAATATATTTTATTGATTTTTATTTTTAAAAAGTTGTTTCCTCTCCATTGTTTATCGTCTGTTTTGTCAATATTCTTATTGGGTGGTTTTTTAAAAATATATTTATTGATTTTTTACAGAGAGGAAGGGAGAGGGACAGAGAGTCAGAAACATCAATGAGAGAGAAACATCCATTAGCTGCCTCCTGCACACCTCCTACTGGGGATGCACCCACAACCAAGGATGCACCCACAACATGCCCTTGTCTGGAATCAAACCCGGGATCCTTCAGTCCCCAGTCCGACGCTCTATCCACTGAGCCAAACCAATCAGGTCGTTGTTGGGTGCTTTTGTTCATTTATCAGTTCCATGTTTTATTTCATGCCATTGTTCTCCGCAGTATGTTTCTGCTTAGAAAACCTCTAGTGATCTTAGAGGAGCTGTTCTTTCGATGAGAAATTATTTTTTATATGTCTTTAGATAGTATTCTGGGACACATGATATTTTCATTGGTTTTTATCTGTTCTCATGTTTATATTCATTCTACTTAGAATTCATGAGCTGCTTGCATTTGTATGTTGCTTTCTCCAATTGTCAGGATCTTAAACAATTAATTTTTTATATAAGTTACCTACTCTTTTCACTATTCTGTCTCTATGGAGTCCCCTTGGTAGCCGATTTGTTAGTATCTTAGGAGTTCCTTAAATTCTGATCACATTTCCACGTGTTTGTTGGCTTACCTGCATCAAAATCTTAATGAATTAAAATTGTAATGATTTCTGTACAAATTCTTTGATTATTTAATTACTGTGTTTTAAATGTATGTTTATTGATTTCAGAGAGGAAAGGAGAGGGAGAGATAGAAACATCAGTGAAGAGAGAGAATGATCGATGGGCTGTTTACTGTATGATCAGGGATTGAGCCTTCAACTCAGGCCTGTGCCCTAATGTGGAACCAAACCATGACTTTCTAGTTCATAGGTAGAGACAACCTCTGAGCCACCGCTTCCAGGCAAATTCTTTGATGTTTTGAGTTGATCATGTCTTTCATGATTCTAGTGTATTTTTTTTTTAAATGTGGAACGCTTCACGAATTTGCGTGTCATTCTTGCGCAGGGGCCATGCTAATCTTCTCTGTATCGTTCCAATTTTACTATATGTGCCATCGAAGCGAGCACATGTATTTTTTCATTTTGGTATTATGTAGGTCAATATCCCCCTTTGGTGTGGTATTTATAAAGTACTTTCGCGCCCTGACCGATTTGGCTCAGTGGATAGAGCGTCGGCCTGCAGACTCAAGGGTCCCGGGTTCAATTCCGGTCAAGGGCATGTACCTCGGTTGCGGGCACATACCCAGTAGGAGGTGTGCAGTAGGCAGCTGATCGATGTTTCTCTCTCATCGATATTTCTAACTCTCTATCCCTCTCCCTTCCTCTCTGTAAAAAAATCAATAAAATATATTTAAAATAAAAAGTACTTTCACATTATATTTTTATTTTGGTTACATAATATTTTGGTGATTTTGTATAGTTTTCTTTTTTCTCCTTTTTGGCTTCAAGATTTTCCATTCTTTTTTAAGGTAATTAACATATTTCGATTAATGTAGTGCCAGTTTGATTACATTTATTTTGTTTTCCTGATGATACACTTTTTCTGTTTTTTTTCCATGACTCAGTATCTTTTGTTGAGATTCCTGAATGGTAAAGTAGCAGGCTTTTGAACATGCTTTCTATAGGAGGACACTAATAACCGTCTGTGGAACAAATTCTACTTTTGGTCCACACTATTTTCTGGATCTCTATTCCTGGTTCGGCTGTCTAATTTCCCAGTTGGAAATGTTCTCTGTTTCTTTCTCAGACCCGCTGTGTCTTTCAGGCCTGATACATATCTTCAGTATCACATTCTGTGTGGCGCTCGAACAGTTTCTCATTGTGTCTCAAGCGGCCACAACAGGGCACTCACTGTGTACCCCCATTCTGTTTGCACTCTGTGTCATGCACAACTGAAACTTGTTATTCAAGATGCTTCAAAACAAGCAGCTCATTGAACATGTACTTTCCTCATCTCTGTCTCTCCAGCGAAGAAACTGGGAATTGGGAGTGTTTTTATAATATGGCCACCGTGTGCCAGAGGGTTTGAGCAGTTTTCATCGGCAAATGTAAGCAACTCTTTGTCCCTCTTTGATGTGAGTTTTCCTCACTTTACCTATCTAGAGCTTTCCTTGAATCCTTCACTACCTCTTGGAGTACTCAAAACTGTCATTTGGCCTATAGTTGCTGGTAACTTCAAAATGCTCTCACCTGATTGTCAAAACTGAAAATTCGTTTTCTTTCAGCTATGTCATTGGAAGATGACCATGCCTTTATGCCAAAGACCAGAATACAAGATTTATTCTCTGAATTGATACTGGTAAGATATAAAAGGTGTCGCTTTGATAATGTACACTTAATGGAAGTCTCAGTATTTGAGGAAGAGTGTGATGAGAACAGAGGTTATATTAGTATAAACAGAGCTAATCTGGAATAGCTATCATAAAAAATTGTTGTTACTTGAAGAGGTGAAGTGTGTCATGCCTTTGGGAAACCTTCCACTTTAAAGTCAGTTACATTGGGAGATCAGGGTGTTTCTGCACTTAAAGGTTGAAAGCAGCTTTTAATGTTATGCATTCTTTGAAAGGAAATCTGGATAAAGTAGGAGTTCACATATTGTGTAGTGTAAATAATCATTTGAATTTTGTAAAATGTAGGGTGGGATTAAACTTTCATGCAATAATTTCTAAAATGTAGAGATTTAAAATATACCTTTAAAATTTAAATATGCTCAATTGGGCAATCATTATTATTATTATTACCATTATCACTTTTAAATATATTTTTATTGAATTCAGAGAGGAAGGGAGAGAGATGGAAACATCAGTGATAAGATGGTATCATTGATTGGATGCCTCCAACATGCCCCCACTGAGGATAGAACCCGCAACCTATGAATGTGCTCTTGACTAGAAACAAACCCAGGTCCCTTCTGTCTGCTTGCCACTGCTCTATCCACCGACCAAACCAGCTAGTGCTTTTATTATTTATTTTTATTCAAAATATATTTTTTTGGATTCAGAGAGGCAGGGAGATGAAGAGAGATAGGCAAATATCCTTGATGAGAGAGAATCATTGACTGGCTCCCTCCTGCATTCCTCACATTGGGGAGTGATTCCGAACTTGAGGCTTGTGCCCTGATGGGGAATGGAACCGACCTTCTGGTTCAAAAATCAAGACTCAACCATTGAACCATGCTGGCTTGGCAATTTGACAATCTTTTTTTGCTTGTTGTTAATATATTTTTTTGATTTTTTTACAGAGAGGAAGGGAGAGGGATAGAGAGTTAGAAACATGGATGAGAGGGAAACATCTATCAGCTGCCTCCTGCACAACCCCTCCTGAGGATGTGTCTGGAAGCAAGGTACATTCCCTTGAACGGAATTGAACCTGGGATCCTTCAATCTGCAGGCCAACACTCTATCCCAGGGGTGGGCAAACTTTTTGACTTGAGGGCCAGAATGGGTTCTTAAACTGGATCGGAGGGCCGGAACAAAAGCATGGATGGAGTGTTTGTGTGAACTAATATAAATTCAAAGTAAACATCATTACATAAAAGGGTACGGTCTATTTTTTTTTTTTTTAGTTTTATTCATTATCAATGGGCCGGATCCGGCCCGCGGGCCGTAGTTTGCCCACGGCTGCTCTATCCACTGAGCCAAACAGGTTAGGGCTGGCAATCTTTTAAACAAGGATTCATTCTTTTTCCTCTGACAATGATTTTTTGTATTTAATTTTGTCTATAATTTTAATAAATTAGGAGAGCTTTTGTGTAAAACCATCTTGGTTTAATGAGTATCACAAAATGGTTCTTATGGAACAAGTATACATGTTTAATGAAATTATGTCAGTAAAGGTCTTTCCATCTCCCATTACTTCCAGAGTACACATAATGGAGACAGTTGTGATCAATGGAATGAAAACTGGAAAAAATTTAAGCAGGTCTCATATCTTAATCATTGGAGAAGTGAGTTTGCAGAGGAGCATTATAAAAGTGGAAGAGTCTGTGACCCAAGGTGCAATCACAAAATACGTGAGGTTATTCCTATTGTGGAGATGACACACAAAGGAAATAAATGTGTCCAGTCTTTTCAACCGTCTACAAATTGCACTGAACAAGAGAATATTCATCCTGGGGAGAAAGCTTACAAATGGAATCCTTGTGGTATAATTTCCAGTCAAATATTCAAGACAAATGAAGTGGAAAAAATCCAGAGTGGAAAAAAATCTTATGAATGTAGAGAATGTGGTAAAGGATTCCTTAACGCCTCTAGCCTGAATCAACATCGGAAAATTCATAATGGAGAGAAACGTTACAATTGTAGAGAATGTGGCAAGGCCTTTAGATGGTTCTCACACCTTACTACGCATCAGAGAGTTCATACTGGAGAGAAGCCTTATATGTGTAGAGAATGTGGCAAAGCTTTTAGCAATCTTTACTGTCTTAATACACATCAGAGAGTTCATACAGGAGAGAAACCTTATAAATGTGGAGAATGTGGCAAAACCTTTAGCCAGTCTTCATCCCTTACTTATCATCAGAGAGGTCACACGGGAGAAAAGCCTTACAAATGTAGAGACTGTGGCAAAGCTTTTAACGATTTTTCCTCTCTTCATTCACATCAGAGAGTTCATACAGGAGAGAAACCTTATCAATGTAGAGAATGTGGCAAAACCTTTAGCCATTCTTCATCCCTTACTCGTCATCAGAGAGGTCACACGGGAGAGAAACCTTATAAATGTAGAGAATGTGGCAAATCCTTTGTCACCTCCTCAGTCCTTACTATACATCAAAGAGTTCATTCTGGAGAGAAGCCTTATAAATGTAGAGAATGTGGCAAATCCTTTGTCAGCTCCTCACACCTTGCTTCACATCAGAGAGTTCACAGAGGAGAGAAGTCTTATAAATGTATAGAATGTGGTAAAGGTTTTTCGCACACCTCAAGCCTGAATGAACATCGTCAAATTCATAATGGAGAGAAACATTACAAATGTGGCGAATGTGGCAAAACCTTTAGACGGTTCTCACACCTTACTAGGCATCAGAGAGTTCATACTGGAGAGAAGCCTTATATATGTGGAGAATGTGGCAAAGCTTTTAGCGATTACTCCTATCTTAATATACATCAGAGAATTCATACAGGGGAGAAACCTTATAAATGTAGAGTATGTGGCAAAGCCTTTAGTCATTCCTCCTCTCTTAATACACATCAGAGAGTTCATTCTGGAGAGAAGCTTTAGAAATGTAGAGAATGTGGCACATCCTTTATCAGCTATGCAAGTCTTACTAATCATCTAAGTGTTCATACTTAAGGTAGGCCTTATAAGTATAGAGAATGTGGTAAAGGATTCCTTGACGCATCAAACCTGAATGGATATCGGAAAATTCATAATGGAGAGAAACATTACAAATGTAAAGAATGTAACAGCCATTTATCAATGTTCATGCCTTACAGTACAGCAGAGAGTTTAAACTTCATAGAAGTCTTACAGATGTGAGTAGGGTTGTAAGAAGTCCTTGACCAGCTGTGAGAACTTACTGGACATCACAGAATTCATACTGGAAGGAATCCTTATGAATGTGAAAAATGTAAAAAGCCATTAATAGCCATTCAGATATTACTGTACTTGGAGACTTTATTACAAAAAGATACCTTACAAATGTAGAAAGTGGGTTGGGGCCTTTATCCAAAGCTCAAAATTTACTGAACTCAGAGATTATTTAGTGGATGAAAGTCTTAGACTGTGAAAAAAAATGTGAGAAAACCCTTAACCTGTGGTTAAACGTAACATCTTAGGCGTCATTCTAAAGAGAAAGAGCAATAATATAAAGTATTTGGCCAAAGATTAAACCATGGTTGAAGCTTCACAGAATGATAAAATTAGTTCCTGAAAAATTTGAGGCATATGTCAAAGTGTTTATCTTCTAGTATATGTCATACTACACCTCATAATTATTACTGGATAGAAACCCAGCAGATACAAAGAATTTGACAAAGCTTACTCAGAATGCAAACCTTACCTGAACTCATACTGGGGAGAAACAATACAAATGTAAACTGTTGGGGCCCAGATTTAAGCTGGCAAGGTCCTTGCACCTGAAGGGGCTAGCAAGACTGGGACCCTTACCTACACAGTTTTCCAAGACTTGTTTGGATGGCGATTATCAGTAGAATAAGAGCAACCTTTGTAGAATGAGAACAGCCTTTCATGGCTTACCAAGAAGTCTGTTACTATTTACTGAGATATGCTGTACTGAGAACTTGTCCTATTCTGTCCCTCCCTTAGAGTTTAAGAGGAACAAAGAATACATTCCTCTTGACAGACCTCCAATTCAGTGTGTTGTGTATAAATAGGATTTTGTGGCTAATAAAGTTGCTTCAGTTCCTCTATAGCTGTAGTCCTCCCAACCCCCCTTTCCTGTCGTTCTTTCTTTTATCAATTCCCACCTCCCTGCCTCAGCCCAGCTCAACCTGTCAGGCTGGCCCTGACAGTAAACAATGTCCTAAAGATTTCAGTCAGCATCCGTAGCTTATTCCTCACATTGGAATTCATTCTAGAGGGAAACCTTAAATCTGAAGAATCTGGGAAATCATATAGTTGGACCTACAGTCTCAGTCAGTATTAGGGATTGTAATCGTGTAATTCTACATTCATGATATAGGAGGGAGGACTTTTGTTCAAACTGTAGAGTTTACAAATTTCCAAGGAATTTGTGCCTTAAAGTGACTTTAAAGATGTACAAACTTGATCGAAATATATAATTGATTATGAATTTTAAAGTATCACTGAATTCACACTAGATAGGTCGCCATAATGCCTTTCAGGTATTGCCCTCAGTCAGAATGTTTATTACATAGTGTCCTCCAAACTTTAAATGTAGTTAGCTAATATTTTGTATGTTTGACCATATCAAAAGAAGTGATGTTTCCATATGTACAGTTTCTTAGAGTGTTACCTGTTTTATATTGAAATCAATTGAAGTATTTTGAAAAGGAAATAATGTGATTCTACTCCCATATCACTTGATGCTGTTATGTTTTATTCCTAGTGTTTGTGTGTGAAATCATGGGGTTGATTGTTTCAGCCTTAAAGATCTGTGAGCTGTTGAATATTATATGGACTTCACTTGTGTACACTTTCCCATGGAATATTGGATACATTGTAAGGCGCACTATTTTCTTCTTTTAGAGAACTAGAGGCCCAGTGCACTTGCACAGGTAGGGTCTTTTATGGCTGGCAGATGATCAGGTTTGATCAGTTTCCCCCGCTTCCCCACCTCCCAACCTCCTTCTTCCCTCCCCACCTGTGGCCACAGCCACTGGTCGCCTGCCATGTTCCGTGCTACCCCCTCATAGTAAGCGCACGTCATAGCAAGCGATCTGCTGGTCTCCCGGTGGATCTCCTGAGGGGAGAATTTGCATATTAGCCTTTAATAATATAGGATAACACTATTCACAGAATCTTTTACAATACTTTTCTAGGGTTGTAAATGATATCATCAAAGTTACTTCGTTTTCGGTGCCAGTGTAATCAACTGAAAACTTTTTTTTTTTTTTAATATATTTTATTGATTTTTCACAGAGAGGAAGGGAGAGAGATAGAAAGTTAGAAACATCGATGAGAGAGAAACATCGATCAGCTGCCTCCTGCACACCTCCTACTGGGGATGTGCCCGCAACCAAGGTACCTGCCCTTGACTGGAATCGAACCTGGGACCTTTCAGTCCGCAGGCTGACGCTCTATCCACTGAGCCAAACCGGTTTTGGCCTGAAAACTTTTTTGAGGGCACGTGAGCTTGTAACATTTATGGAACTGGAACTAAGGACAGTGCTGTCTGTGTAATAGATTTTCCGTAATTAAGAGGAATATTGCAATAGCAGTGACAATGTTGTACCCAGGATGCCGAATTGGCAAGAACTCTGCATGTCGAGAGAGGACACCTTTCCCAGTCTGTACTGCTAGCTGAACTCAGAAAAATTAATTCTATTTCTCTCCTTTCCTATTTCCTCTTCCTCTCTGGGTTTTCACTTTGTCTTCTAGGCTGCCATTCTTTTTGCAGTGCTATGCCCACAGCATGTAAAGCTCTTCCTGTCCCACATCAGCCTTTCTAGCCCTGTAGCTTCCACTCAGTAGTTTGGAATTGATAATGCAAGGACTGACATCAGAATTTGGCGAATATTTTGCTTTATTTTCATGACGTAGGTAGCCCACCATTTAGGTTGTCATGCTGACACCTATAGTTTTTAATATGAACATGAAGTTTTTGGAAGACCAGAAATTGGCATCTTTGTACTTGATAATTGGAATATTTCTTCTCCTGATTTTAATTGGAAACCTTAAGAATTTCTCAGTGTTACCTCATGAAGTTCTTTATTGGGATAGAATTTACCCATGTTAAGCAGGTTTTATTCTCACTTGTATATGTATCTGTGTGTGTGTATCTACACTAATAAAAGACAAAGATGCTAATTGACTTCACTATGCCCACCAATCGGAAGAGTATGCAAATTAATCCAATGAAGATGGCTGCTAAATTTGCATACTAAAAGTGAGGCGGGCAGCGCCCGACGCCACTCGTGGGATCTGTTGCGCAGATTGGAGACTGTGGAGGCAGAGCCGGCGATGGCCCCTGGCAGAAACCTGAGGCCTGGCCAGGGCAGAGCTGGCAATCACATAAGGCTTGGGATTCCCTGCCCAGGCCTAACACCCGGCCTGAGGCCTTAGGCCTAGGCAGGGGCTGAGCCGGGATCGGTGTGAACTACAGAGGAAACGCCTTTTCTGACCGCTCATTGGCTAAGCTCCCTGTATGGGACTGATAATATTCTTAGTAACTTGGGTAATAACAATTCAAGAATGTGATGGAGGGTTTTTCCACCTCACTCCTGGAGAAAAAAACGAAGGTCTGCTGTTGGAGGGGCTAAGAAATATCATGTCCTGCCCTAGCTGGTTTGGCTCAGTAGATAATGCCTCGGCCTGCCTACCACAGGGTCTGGGTTCAATTCTGACCAAAGGCATGTACCTAGATTGCGGGCTCTTCCCTGGTTGGGGCCCAGGTCAGCGCTCATGCAGGAGGAAACCAAAGTGTTCCTCTCACTTTGATGTTTCTCTCTCTCCCTTTGTCTTCCACATTCTCTAAAAATCAATGGAAACATATTCTCAGGTGAAGATAAACAAAATAAAGAAATGTCACATCCTATGAAAGACACATCTTGAAAATGCTTAGGAAAATTGTCATTTTTTCATGGTGAAGGGACTGGAGTCCGTGTTGATGAAAACACCTTGGTGGCTGTGGTGATTTGCAGTGGCTGCAGCAGCGGGGTGATGGGGCTGGTGCCTTCCCCTGATGAGCAGAGTCGCCTCCCACAAAGGGAGGCCAGAGTGCAGCTTAGTCCCACTCCCCAAGGGGAGCAAGGAGTGGGCCTAAGCCCCCAGTATGACATCCCCTGAGGACTCCCAGTATGTGAGAGGAGGCAGGCTGGGCTGAGGGACACCACCCCCCCCCCGCACGAATTTCGTGCACCGGCCCCTAGTATATGTGTGTGTGGGTGTATCTAATCTAATAATAGACTCAGATGGTAATTGACCATACCTCCGCTATGCTTCCCATTAGCTAATCAGAATATGCAAATTAACCCAACCAAGATGGTGGCCGGCAGCCATGCAGATGAAGTGAGTAGGAGTCTTTCTTGCTCCAGTGATGGAGGAAGCCAAGCTTCCTGCTGCAGCCGGGCTCTGAGCTCCACTCTAAGCAACAAAGTTGCAATTATAGAAGCTAAACAAACCCCAGATACCTGCTTTCAGCAGGCCATGGCCTCGGAGCTGGACCAGCAACAAAGTTTCAAGTATAGAAGGGAAATAAATCCCAGAATAAAAGGAAAAAAAGGAGAGGCTGGGAGCTTCAGTTGCCGGCTTGGCCAGCCTGAAAACAGCCCTCAGCCCCTCATCCAGACTGACCAAGCACCCAGTGGGGACTCCCACCCTGAAGGGAGTGTGACCAGATGAAAACACCCATCAGCCCCTCATCCAGGCTGGCCAGGCACTCCAGTGGGGACCCCCACCCTGAAGGGGGTGTGACCAGCTGTAAACATCCATCAGTCCCTCACCTAAGCTGGCCAGGCAACCAAGCAGGACCCCCACCATGATCCAGGACACCCTCAGGTCAAACCAGCCAGCCCCCACCCGTGCACCGGCCTCTATCCTATATAGTAAAAGGGTAATATGGAAACTGACCCTAACAGTAGAAAGACTGGGAATGACTGGTCACAATGACACACACTGACCACCAGGGGGCAGACGCTTAATGCAGGAGCTGCCCTCTGGTGGACAATGAGCTCCACATGGAGGAGCTCTACTCAGCCACAAGCCAGGCGGATGGCTGCCAGTACAGCAGTGGTGGTGGAAGCCTCTCCTTCCTTCTCAGCAGTGCTAAGGATGTCCGACTGTAGCTCAGGTCTTCTCCCCGCTGGCAAGTGGACATCCCCCGAGGGCTGCTGGGCTGCCAGAGGGATGTCTGATTGCCAGCTTAGGCCCATTCCCAGGAGGAGTAGGCCTAAGCCAGCAGGTGGTCATCCCCTGAGGGGTCCCAGACAGCGAGAGGGCACAACCAGGCTGAGGGACCACCCTACCCCCTAGTGCACAAATTTAGTATATATATAAATATAGATAGATTTGGGAGAGGAAGAGAGATAAACATCAATCATGTGAGAGAATCTATTATCACTATCTTGAATGTAGCCTAATGTTGGTCATTCTTTCTAGAGGAAATCCAGAGAACGTGGCAGCTTTCAGTTGAAACCTTTTATTATTTCGGGTGAAAGTTATATTGTGTACTAGTAGCCTGATGCATGAAATTCGTGTACATTAAAAGGGAATTAGCCCTAGCCGGTTTGGTTTAGTGGATAGAGCATGGGCCTGGGTCCTCAGGGGTCCCAGGTTTGATTCCGGTCAAGGGCATGTACCTTGGTTGCAGGCACATCCCCAGTGGGGAGTGTGCAGGAGGCAGCTGATCGATGTTTCTCTCTCATCGAGGTTTCTAACTCTCTATCCCTCTCCCTTCCTCTCTCTAAAAATCAATAAAATACAGTTTTTTAAAAAGGGGGGGGGAATTAATTGCCCTAACCGGTTTGACTCAGTGGATAGATCATCGGCCTGTGGACTCAAGGGTCCCTGGTTTGATTCCAGTCAAGGTCATGTACATTGGTTGCGCACACATTCCCAGTGGGGAGTGTGCAGGAGGCAGCTAATCAATGTTTCTCTCTCATCGATGTTTCTAACTCTCTATCCCTCTCCCTTCCTCTCTGTAAAAAATCAATGAAATATATTTTTTAAAAGGGAATTAATAAGCAGAGATATTTTAATATTGCTATTTGCCCTTTATAATAGACATGTTAGAGATGAAAGGAAATTAGTAAAATGTATATGAAAATCATAAATCTATTAATAAAAAAACACTAACAAAAGGATATAACAACAACAGAGGCATGATATAAAAACGACAAAAACATGACATGAAAACAACAAAAACATGATATAAAAACAAGAGTGATGCAAACAATGACTGATAAAGTGATTAAACTTATTCTAGTATCTTCCTGTACACCACATGAAGAGTGAAAACACTTTCAGAGTGCTTGACTAATTTCCCTTGTGATGAAGTACTTAGAACTTTAACTATAACATCACATGCTCTTCAAACTCCAGAGAAAGCAACATATAACTGACCTTGTGCAAAACCTGGTTCAAGTAGGAACATGCCTACTCTGTCTAGAGTTTGTCCTTGTGATTTATTAATAGTCATCACAAATGCTGGCATCACGGGAAACCGTCGTCAAATCAATTTAAATGGGAGACCAGTGTCAGATGGAGACAAATTAATTCTTGGAATCAGAACAACCTCTCCCTCTTCAGATCCTGTTAATACTTCAGCTTCGATAATGTTAGGTCGGAATCTTTTGATAATAAATCTGGTACCATTACAAACACCCCATTTACTATTGAGATTTCTCAATAGCATGATGATTG